ATTCACTTAGTTAGTGCCAGCGCCATGCAGGAATTACATTAATTACTTTGCCACACTTACATGCTTTTTTAGAGTGAATATTCAGAGTAGCATGGTAAACAGTATAGGAAGGCTATCATTGTTCAAAAATGACCCAATGTGAATATAAAAGCAACATCAGCTCAATAAAGCAGTTAGGCGGAATAGCGCTATTTACTGATGTTTTGTTGTTTAACTAAATATAAATCTACATTATAGATGCTGTCAAAGGACCTTATGAAACTGAGAATAATCACATCAATCTTTCACCAGGAGATTTCAGTGGCTGAACAACGTCTGTGCATACAAGTCATTCATAACAACACAATCTAACATAAGCTTAGCCTGACTAAGTTTTAAAACATTACCTGTCTAACAGTGATACTTCAGCCATGTGTCGTCCTTCCTCCAGCATGCTAAATAATACTGATTCAGGTTTTTCAAAAGTTTCAATTCAGCCTTTGATTTCTCCCGGTCCGTCTCGTGACCGCGCGGCCACTTTAAGGGCGAATTATACCCGCGCCTGGCTTTACAGTAATCGGCCCGAGCGCGTCTGTCCTTCAGTGGCTCCGACTCAGCATCGGCGAGCGGCCCGCAGATCGCTCGCCCGCATGCTTTTGTGATGCAGATGGGCTAATGGCGGATCTGCGTGAACAGATGCGCAGAAGTCCAAATTTACAATTGCTGACAGACAGTCTGACCTGCTTATCAGAATTATGGGAGATGTCGGTCCGACTCTATTTAATTGGATGAACATTGTTTTGTTTTATGCTTTACCCAGAATATAAAAATTCTTAAAAACACATTTGGATCATTTACTGCAATCATTACTATTGGACTGTGAAGAGACTTCCAACCAGCACAACAAAAAATGTTTCTGAAGACAATCACCTACTGCACCTTTAACAATATGACGTCTATCAGATGTTGGATTTTGCTGTCATACCTGACAAATGTTAGTATTTGACGTCAATATGATGCTGGTTTAAGATGTTGGCTCAGCATTGGATTTTGGTCGTTTTCCAACACAACCTAAAATAAAAAAAATAAACAAAAATCAACATAATTTGATGTTGTTATTGGACATCAAAATAACATTGTTCCTAGACAATGGCTAGACATTGATTTTTGGTCATCTGACATCACAACGTAAATCTTACCTAATATTAACGCTTTATGACATTGTGTTACTGCTGAACAATAACTAAATGAACTACAGAATGTTACGTTTACACACATCCACAAATTACATGTAAATGTATCAGCTTTTTACAGGGTAATACTCACTACTCTTGAGTACTTTTGAAAGATCTACTTTTTACTTATACTTTTGAGTATTATTTACAATACTTTTACTCTACTTGCACTACATTTCTGGGCAAGTAATGGTACTTTTACTTAAGTATGATTTTTCAGTACCCTTTCCACCACTGCTTATGATCCAGCATTAAAAACTGAGATCTGAAATATCTAGATTATCAAGATTGACAGTTTATCTTATTAACTCGCAGATCTGTTAAATGAGCAATTTTAGGGCTATGATAAGGCCACACTAGAATGTCTCATTAGGATTATTAATGTTGAGACCATTATTGAGCTATAAGAATACTACGTTTTCAATTACTTTGTCAGACTGGAAGAAAATCAGCATCGCTTTGCTTCACCACAGCCCTAACAAATGCTGTCTTTAGAGTATGTGAAAAATTATTTGCTGAAGGAACTGATTAACAATGTTCAGGATGTCTCATAATTAGGAATTTAATACTGTTTTGAGCAAGTTAGTGTGAAATAGGTCAAAAAAGGACCCTTGAAGAATTTGTATGTGATGTGACCTTAGTGGGTTTATTAAGGCTGATGACTGAGAAACTGGACATTATATTTTTTACAGCCATAGATCGAATGTTAGAGACCACTCCAAAAGGACAAGTACCAGCTTTGGTTTGTTTGATCTTATGAGTGTAGAATGCTGCGAACTCGTTGCACTTTTGTGTTAGGAAACGTTTCGATGATATTTGAGGTGAGGGGTTAAACAGCCAATTTACGGTGGAAAAGATGAATCTGTCTCTGTTAAACTTGACACTGTGTGGCAGACTTTGTCTCATTATTGAAGAGGTCATATCGCAAGGAATAAAAATTTCCTTGATTGTTGAGAGAGAGACAAAATGTACAGTGAAAGCACTGTAACTTTGAAAACTTATTCCCTAGAAGTTCCTTTCTTCCCTTCTTTCACCAGATAGGGGTTCAAAAGGTAAGGATCAGAATCTAATGTTATCTATCTAAGGTTTCTAATGCTATATGATAAAGGTTTAATCTCCATATATTTGCTTAAAATATTGTTTGAAAAAATGGTTTATTACAAATTGTTGCAAACTATTTATATTGGCTGAATTTAAAAAAAAACAAATTAAATTGAACATTACTAAATTTAATGTGTTTGTTTAAATTCAGCTCATATAAATGGCTTTTGACCACTTAACTTAAATATTAATATATATTAAATCCAATAAATGTTTTTCGATGAACAATTTCAAGAGTTCACACTTAGCTGATGATTTATCATAAGCTTGTTTGGCATGCTGTCCTCGAGCCCAGGGCTCCCTGCCGTTCGCAGAACGAGAGGGGAGATTGAGCTCAGGTAGATCTCAAAAACTCCTTGGCTGAAGTGGCTAAAGTGAACTACTTTGAGAGGGAAAGAAACTGATGCTAGGAGCTAGACAAAGTGGTCATCTGGCTTAGTCTGTTATGTATGATGCATATCTTTGGACGGTGGCATTAAACCGGGGAACCTGGGGGAAACCCATGCGGACACGGGAAGAACATGCAAACTCTCCACAGAAACACCAATCAGCCCGGCGTGGACCAGAGCCTGCAGTGTTCTTGCTGTGGAGCAACAGTGCTAACCACTAGGCTGCCGTGCTGCCTAATCTATGAGAAAAAAAGGAGGAGAAAGGGAGGAAGGGAGGTTTCTTCTGGACAAAAATAAATGTGGAATGAAGACAGTCATTATCTATAGTAACTTAAGAATCAAATGATTGGAGGATCATGATAAGCTAATGCAGGACTGGCTGTTGTAAATCATAAGCACGTAATCCTCTCAAAATTAGTTTACAAATAAACTTCACTTAATCATTTAATTCAAGTAAATATGCATTTTCTGTGATCTAAAGGCTTCAGGAATCATTCCAGTATGTAGATTTGCTTCTAAAGAAACATTTCTTCTCATTGTCAGAGTTGATAAGGATTAATTTTTGGTGGAAAAAAGGATTGTTGTATGAATAGCAAGTTAAAACACGAGAATTTATTTGAAATAAAAAGCTTTTGTTGATTCTTACTGCACTCTTGCTTGAAAAAAATTATCAAGTTTTTTTTTTAACTATTTAAATTAGTATAAATTTATAAATATAAATATTATATAATTTTTTTATAAGCTATTATATTTAAATTCAATTCATCTTTATTTCTATAGCGCTTTTACAATGTGGATTGTGTCAAAGCAGCTTTACATAGACGATTATAATAAACTGAAATTGTGTCAGTTCAATTTTCAGAGTTGAAGTTCAGTTTAGTTCAGTTCAGTGTGGTTTAAATTTCTCTGCTGGAAGTCCAAACACTGAAGAGCAAATCCATCGATGCGCAGCTCACAAGTCCCAAACCAAGCAAGGCAGTGGCAAGGAACAAATTTCGTCAATTGACAAAAGTGTAGGAAAAAAAACTTAAGAGAAATCAGGCTTAGTTGGACATGACCATTTCTCCTCTGGGCAGAGCTGTAGTCTAGGCCCCAGGGGCAGGAGAACACTAGACGTTCATCATGGAGTCCTGCATGTGTGAGTAGGTCATTGGCGAGTGCTCAGGCTGGCCCACGGGATCAATGCGAAGACTCGTCTGTCTCATGCACCGCTCCTCCATGATCACCACAGCATCAGCTTAGAATACGGAATGGTTCGGGATTATGGATACCTTGCGATCATGTCTTGGATTGCATCAATGGTGCTGCATAATCTCTAGAGGCCTCGGGATGAGTATCCCCAAGTGGAACTAGAGAATAAAGAAAATAATCAGCGTAGCTGCTGTTCATAGTGTATTTAAATGAGATGCAAAACTGAAGAGCTGTATTACAATGAAAATAGTATTTATATAAACAAACATAGAAGCAAACATGTAAAGCATATGAGTACTTCTAACAAAATGTCTGGTGCACTAAGGAGGAGTGTGTTCTACAGGTAGTTGTCAAGCTCACTCACATGCATTGGAGCACACTCTGGCATCACACCATTATGTGATGCATTGTGTGAATGTTTTACTAAAAACATATTATTTAATCTACAGTAGTTTTTAACTGAGAGAGTGTGTCTGGGTCTCAGACATTATCAGGAAGCCTATTCCAGCGATTAGGAGCCATAAATGAGAAGGCTCAACCTCCTTTAGTAGACTTTGCTATTCTAGGTACTACCAGAAGCCCTGAGTTTTGAGATCTCAAAGTTGGATTGTAGTGAGACAGAAGGTTGATTAGATAAACAGGAGCTAGATTATTGAAGCTTTATAGGTAAGAAGCAATATTTTAGAATCAAAACGGAATCCTGTGCCTGTGTAAGGAGCATTAAATTGGGGTGATATGGTCATATTTTGCCCCCAAACTTCAATGTCTGTTCAATGCACAGAAAAGCAAATGACCTAATAAGGAAAAAATGAAATACAGTAGGTTTTCTACTTAAACGAAAGCAATTTGAATTGTCAAAGATTTGTCCAATTTTTAAATCTGATTCCAGAGCTTCAACGTAAAGGAAGATTATAACTAAAAAACTCAAATGAAATGAAACCCAGTCCTGTTCCTCTGCAACCACACAATCAGCTCTCTGCCTATTGTGTTTCACTGAGCCATTGAACAGACTCTACTTTTAAATAAGATGTTATAGATAGTGTAATTACTGCTCTTTCAAATAAGTCTTGGCCTTGAAGTCTGTTCATCTGTGTGTATTTAACAGGTATGCAGTGCCGTGCAGAACCAGGACTTCACAGTGATCGAGGACTACTGTTTAGGCCTGAAGGCGCTGCTGTATCTAAAAAGCATAGAGGAGCTGCACGATTGGGACGGCCAGTCTCCTCCCACCATTCGCCACCAGAAGGGCAAGCCCGTTCCCCATGTGAGCGAGCTCATTGGAAAGGTGAGTATTTTGTGTGGCTGGTTGCCTAAGGCTCGCTTTAGAAAAAGGAAACTTTACTTCTGGATAACCTTTAGTGATTTGTGTTGCAATTAAACAGGCAAAACCCGCCTGGTGTGGAGATAATGCTTTATTGAGTCATGAAGGATGCATAAGGTTGCGGGTGTTAGTAAAATAGCTGGGAGGAAGATGCTAAAAGGGGTGAACAAAATTTACTTTCCTCTACTTAGCGTGAAAGAAGCTCCAGGCTTCCTCAGACCCGCTTCGTGACCCTATGACCGTTTGACCAGTAGGGGCCTTCAGCTATGCTGCTGTGTAAAATGTGGTGTGAAACCCCCAATTTTATTGTTTTAAATACTTGTGTGATCAATATGAATGATTTTTTTTTTGCCTGTTTGTCTTTTAGTTGTGAATTGCATTACACAGTGAGCACAAACTGCAAGGATGTTGAATTGTTAACTAAATCAGAGCTGTGTTTTCTGACTGCAATTACCATATATTTATTTTTAATATCACTAAATTATTTGAATTGTGATTATGTTTGTCTCCCTCTCTCTCTCTCTTTCTCAGCGGCAGCCAAACTCAGCTCTCCATTGAAATTTCACAGTTGCACAAAGAGATATTTTCCCCATCACTACACCGTATTCATGCAGCATAAAAAAAAACGAAAGCACACAAACATATGCAAATGTTTCTCTCTCCATAAACAGCTTTGTGCTTCTGTTGAAAGTGATGGAGGAGGAAAAACACTGTGAACTGATAAGTGCTATTCCTCGACTACAACGACATGATTTCGAAAAACATGAGAGGCGAAATCTCTCTCTCTCTCACTCTCTTTCGCTCTGACTCACTATCTCTCTGCCAACAGGGTGTCTATAGAGCTCTGTCCAGAAACAGACACAGTGTTTTGGGGAGGCTAGGTGTTACAGGAGGGTGTTTAGATACTTTTATTTTCTTTTATTTCAAAACATTGGAAACTTGTGTATTTGTCAACATATGCAAATATACTGCAAATTATTTATTTATTTATTTATTTAGTCAGTCAGTTTTTGTGCTTAGTTAAACTGTTCTAGACATCCTGAAATGGAATGTGTAGGATTCAGGAGTTTGTGTTATTGGTGTGTTATTATCAGTAGCCTTTAAATGAACTGCAGCCAGCAACTTATAACTTATTTTTACACTTGTGCAGGATTAACATACAGGTTGGGACAACGGAGGTGAGGATCCACGTGCAGTTCTTTATAGGGCTGATGTGAAACTGATGGTTCGACACAGTGTCGAGAAGTGTTTAGAAACACTGCACCGAACCATGATCTGAAACACCCAAGTCACGTGACTTAGGTGATTTGAAACGCACAGGTCATGTGACTAAAGCAATTTAAAGCATTGATTATTTCAAAAGCGTTTCGAGCTGGCAAATCTGCATTTGACCTACAGGGTCAGATTAAAACTCTCATATAGGTTAGTGGACTGTGTGTGTGCACATAGTTAATGTGCTGCAAATGGCTTTTGGGTTCGAATCCCGACTTGTACAAATATTCCGAAATTATGATTTTATTTATTTTAATAATGTTATTGTTTATGGTAAAGTCTTGATAGGATACAGCTGCAGAGACGTCATCAATTTAGCATCATTTTTGTAACACTGTATAACAATGATTAATATTTTTACAGTACTGTGATGGTTGGGGTTAGGGTAGACCTTAATAAAAATACAAAAAATGGGAAATTTAATAAATATGTGTAGTTTATTTGGTGGCAGATTTGTAGTTCTCCAGCAATCTGCATGGGCTAGATTGCTGGTGATTATGACAGCATGTAACATGGGCAGACTTTAAATTAAGTTTAAATTAATCCTACTTCTGTGCATGATATATTGTTATTTCATGCGGAATTATTAGTCATTAAACTGTAAAAGTATTTGTTTTTGGTGTAAAAGAATGAAAGAGAAAACTTAAACTTTTTAGGAGTCAACTAATCCCAGATGAATATTTTGATTGACACTGAAAACTAATTCATTGTTAACCAATAACTGAAATATACAGTTGAAGTCAAAATGTTAAGCCCTCCTATATGTTTTTTTTTTTATATATTTCCCAAATTATACTTAACAGAGCAAGGAATTTTTCACAGTATGTCCTATAGTATTTTGTCGTCTGAGTAAGTTGTTTTAATTCAGCTAAAATACAATTTAAATACTGTTTGAAGGTCAATATTAATATCCTTCTTAAGCAATATTTAAGCAAATAATATCTGGAAAAATATTATTTACTGTTATTTAAAAAATTAGTTATCAGAAATGAGTTATTAAAACTATTATGTTTAGAAATGTGTTGAAAAAAATATTCTTTACATTAAACAGAAATTGGGGATGGGGGGATAAACGGGGTTAATAATTCTGACTTAGCCTGTAAGTGGAGAAATATAAATTGTGTTACGATTTTTTTAAACCTAATTAGAAAAACAAAATGTAACGAAATACAATGAACGTTCGAGGTTACAGAAGTAACCCTTCGTTCCCCGAGGAGGGGAACGGAAGTGCCATGAATGGGAGGATTCGGATCAGAAGCCGCTTATCTGGAGAGTATTGAACGGGCCAATGAATGAAATTAATTGGCAGCGTAAGCTTGCGCAGGTGTGCGACATCTGCAATTATCTCAGCATATAAGCACACCTGAAGCCAGCAGACGCCATCCTTTTAAGCTGAAGAGACTTTCAAACAGCTAAGGGACAGTCATTATGGCGACGGAATATGGCACTTCCGTTCCCCTCCTCGGGGAACGAAGGGTTACTTCTGTAACCTCGAACGTTCCCCTTCGGTTGGGGAACTTCAGTGCCATGAATGGGAGAATATGGAAAGCGCCATAATGACTGCACCTTACCAACACCCCCGATGAGGAGATAGTCAAGCAAGCGTGACGCACCCACATCATGGGGGGCGCGGTCCTCCAACGTGTCCCTGGCCCTAATTTATCCTACTTCAACAGAAGTTTTACGGATTTAGATATATTTTTTGGGAAGTCGTGAGCATCTAGATAATTCTAGGAAATACGACAGTACGTTGGGAAGCGTGCAATCCTGATAGGGAGGACGCTGCGGAGGCCATCCGTTACCCAAGGGGGGGATAGATGGCAGAATTTACCTATGGACTAGCCCTAAAAAGGGGGAGTACGCATAGCAAAAGAGTGGTTAGCGGAGAGGGAAGACACGGGTCCACCCAGGGGGGGGACTTAACCGTGGCGGAATAAGCATATGGGATCGCCTAGTGGGGATCACGCATAGCAGGCACCTATACTCAAAACGCGGGCTGACCAGCGGGCAGACCTACAACGTAGTGGGCCAGCAAGTGACTCCTCCGCTGAGTCAGTGCTGGGGGCCACGGAGGAATCTGCAGGGCTCACCTGACGGGGAACTTTACTGACAGATAAAAAAGGCGCACGTACCTCCGTGTTAGGGAGAATGGCGCCGCAAGCGTGTTTCAACACCCTACCGAGTTGTCTCCTCAATCACCAAAGGGTTACCTAATACCCTTGAGGAAACCAGCTCCACTCGCAGATTGTAAAACCTTGCAAATGTGTTGGGTGTCGCCCAGCCCGCAGCTCTACAGATGTCTGTTAGAGAGGCGCCGCGTGCACGCGCCCAAGAGGATGCAACGCTCCGAGTGGAGTGTGCACGAACTCCCGGGGGACACGGCTGACCTCGACTCGAATAAGCGAGTGAAATGGCATCCACAATCCAGTGGGATAATCTTTGTTTTGATACGGCACTTCCCTGCTGCCGACCGCCATAACAGACAAAGAGCTGCTCAGATGATCTAAAATTCTGAGTACGGTCCACATAAATGCGCAGAGCGCGAACTGGACAAATTAAAGAAAGGGCTGGGTCTGCCTCCTCCGGGGGCAGCGCTTGCAGGTTCACTACCTGATCTCTAAAGGGGGTGGTAGGAACCTTGGGCACATAACCGGGGCGGGGTCTCAGGATGACGTGAGAGTAATCCGGCCCGAATTCCAGGCACGAGTCACTGACCGAAAATGCCTCCAGGTCCCGACCCTCTTGATGGAGGCCAACGCAACCAGCAGAGCTGTCTTCAGGGACAGAAATCTTAGAGATACTGATTCGAGTGGCTCAAAGGGATCGGATCGCAGACTCGTGAGAACGAGGGCGAGATCCCAAGAGGGCATGAGAGGGGGGCGAGATGGATTAATTCGCCTAGCACCCCTAAGGAACTGGATGACCAGGTTATGCTTTCCCACGGTGCCGCCAGCTACCGCGCTATGATAAGCGGAGATGGCGGCCACGTAAACCTTGAGAGTGGAGGGCGACAGCCTGCTGTCCAACTTCTCTTGAAGGAAAGAGAGCACAACACTAATCTGGCAATTTCGGGGGTCTTCTCTGCGAGAGACGCACCATTCAGTGAATAGACTCCACTTCAGGGCGTAGGCGCGCCTCGTGGAGGGGGCTCTAGCCTGAGTGATGGTATTAACCACCGCAGTCGGTAGGTTACCTAAGTCTTCCTCGCGTCTAGGGACCACACGTGGAGGTTCCAAAGATCGGGGCGAGGGTGCCAGATGGTGCCCTGTCCCTGAGAGAGTAGGTCCTCTCTCAAAGGGATCCGCCAGGGGAGGGCCGTCGCGAGGAGTGAGAGCTCTGATATCCAGGTCCGGTTGGGCCAAAGGGGCGCAACTAGCAGAACCTGTTCCTCGTCCTCCCTGACCTTGCACAGAAACTGCGCGAGCAGGCTCACTGGGGGAAACGCATACTTGCGCATGCCCCGAGGCCAGCTGTGGGCCAGTGCATCCGTGCCGAGAGAGCCCTCGGTCAGGGAAAAAAACAACTGGCAGTGAGCGTTCTCGGGGGAAGCAAACAGATCGATCTGGGCCTCCCCGAATCGCGCCCATATCAGCTGAACAGACTCGGGGTGGAGTCTCCATTCTCCAGGGCGTAACAGCTGTCGTGAGAGCGCATCGGCTGCACGATTGAGCGTGCCTGGGACGTGAATGGCG